TCTTTGAAATCAAGCATTATTGCAAAGATCACCTTTCAAAATCTCCCTTATGCATGTAGATATATCTGACCACAATGTGCTCATCATTTCTCATAGGTTCAATGATATTTGTACCTGATACTGGGTGCTGAGGGAGGCCATTTAGAATTAAATCAAGGCTTTAGAATTAAATTGAGAGTTGCCTCCCTCTGCTTGTTTCCAAGACCACCTCTTCCCAGGCAAAGTCATTTAGGACACCAAGAAACTGAATCTAAGCTTCACACACATGACAGCAATCCATTGATTCTGGTTCCTATGAAGGAGCAACATTTGTGAGGTCTGAAAAACAAGTTTTTCTCTCCCTGCTTGCAAAACATTCAGGAATGTTCAGAGGGTTTTGACTTTTTAATCTTCTAATTATGCAAATCATTGTGAATTCTTGGCACTCTTGCTGAACCTCCTGGGATCTCCTGGCCCAAAATACCACCTCACAGTCCACTGATGTAAGTAAGAGGTTTCAGAGAAGGTGGAGGTGTGTCTTACATCGAGGCACCAAAGAGGAGGCATGTAAATGCTCCTCTTCCACTCAGAGATTTGGAGAAGCTTTCAGGCAAGGCAAGTGGTCCTTGGGCCACTGACTTTTCTTCTTCCCCCTCTGATGAACAATTGTTTGCCAACTGATCTCTGTCTGGACAGTCAGCAAATACGTGCTATTCCTGGTGGTATGGCTTTCTTCTTCCTAATTGTTCCTATAATTCTTTGAGAGGGACAAGAACAACCATAATGAGACTTCTCTTCCTCCAGCTGCTACTCTCTGAAGAAGCCTCCTGTGAGATATGGGAGGCCAAATGCCTCTGGAGGTGGGAGCAGGATGAACTGAAGCCAAGAAATTATTACTGGCCAGGAGACTTCATCTTCATTACCACCATCCCTGAGGAATGGTTCCATTTTACACCACATACTTTCAACAAACCTGCCTTGACTGGAGAGCCTCGGTAAGTCATTGACCTGGTTCAGATTATGGGATACAGTGCCATGGGCAGCCAGACAGCCAAGCTTTCTGTGGCATGCATAGCTTGAACAATTTCTCACAGCTGGCTTCTTCCCCAGGAATGTGCAACCCACAGAATCCTGGACAAAAAATTCTCAGAGTCAGGGTGCCAGGTTGGAGGAAGTGATCCACCTTCCCAATGTCTCTACTATCCAGTCGTTCATTTCTATTTCACCCTGAAAGTGTTGCATGTGCTGGGCTCCAGCTCTGGAATGCCCACCTGGTCTTTGTGTGTTACATACTGCAGAACGGATATTGACTTGGAAGGAAAAGCCTCCACCCATGCAGAAAACTCCCATCAGCACTTCTATAGGAATTTTCACTTGGGCTTCAAGCTTCAGGATGGGATCAGTGTGAGCATGTAGAAAGACTAAGAAGCACAAAGCAGAGAGATACAACCTCAAAAGGCAAAACCTGAAGAAACCATGAAAGCTGTGAATTTCAAGAGGAATGGGAAGGCAGGGTGACCAATGGATGCTCTTTCTTTCAGGTTGGCAGCTACATCTCACTTGGAGATCCTATCCGTCCTTATTGCCATCCATGGGGTCAACAAAAATCCCAGGCTCTTGTCCAACATCACCCTGAGCTACAATATCTATGACACCCATTACGATGCTAGACAGGCATCCAATGCAGCCGTAGACCCGCTCTCCACCACACAGGCCCATTTTCCCAACTACAAGTGTGGCAGGAAAAATTACCTTCTGCCCATCCTTGAAGTACTGGAATCTGACAACTACATGCAGCTTTCCAACATGCTGAGCCTCTACAAAGTCCCACAGGTGGGGGGCTAGGGGGAAGCAGTTCCAGGTGCAGAGGTGTAAGTTAAAAATTTCTCCAAATCATTTGCATGCATGATATGGCTCTCAGTAAAAAAAAAAAAAAAAAAAATGCTAATCAAACCTGGGGATGAGATAGTTGAAGCTCCCTATGCCAAGCACCATGGGTGCCTTTGGGACTTTCTGTACCATCCTCTCTGTGCTGATTCAACAATTCTGCTCAACAGGGTCAACCATATCATGAGCACCAAGAAGAGATTCCTTCTCTCTTTCTCATGCAGGGAATTCAGAAAGGAAAGTGCACCCAAAATGGGTACAATTTAATCATTTCAGAACAACCCTAAAAACAAATTTTGCCCAGACTTCAGGAAAACTGGGAGAAAATGTTTTTCCTCTCCACACTATCCCTTCCCGCACCCTGGGCACTCCAGCCCGAACTGACCCAGTGGTCCTTTCTCTCCTGGTCCAGGGGAACTCACAGCTCCCTGAGCTGCTCCCCCAGAATCAACGAGGTGGCTTGTGAATATGGGGATTACTGAGAGATGATATCTTTTAGAACTCCTTCCTCATCTGGAGGAGCTGAAAAATACATTCTCCTCTTGAAGGCACTCTGGGGATTCTCTGTGGGGATGGCGCTCAGGTGGGTTTCTCAGACCAGAGGAGAATGCAAACGATGGTTCACCTGCATCTGAGGGTGGGGAATCAGGCATGCCCAGGAGATGTTTGAAGAAGGACATGGGGTCTTTTTCTTGGATGTGCATGCTGGGCTTTAGCAATTTCTGCACTGGGAGGGAGTTTCCTATGAAGTCCATGATGGGTGGGGAGAATCCATGATGTAATTTGTTTTGCTGTAGGGTGTAACTAGGCACAGAAAGGACAGCAATGAATGCTTATTCCTCTATACCAAAGCTGGAGTACCTTGTTGTCACCATATTAAGTTATTCATTTATTCATTTGGCCAAGTTATATCCAGCCCATTTTCCTTTCAAGGGAATCAGAGCAGATGACATAATTTTCCTTCCTTTTAGGTGAGTTGGGCAAATGGTCTGTGGGTCTCCCAAAGTAACCCAGTGAGCTCTGCAGCTGTGGCAAGACCAGAACCAAACCCCCAGGTCAAAGTCCCACAGGTTTAAACAGTGCATCAGATGGGCTCAAAGCCTTTTGTGCTTTGGCCACTGCAGAATTCCCCCTTGCTCTCTATGGGTGTTGTGAGGTCGTAACTCATGTTCCCAATTACACACATGCAGGCAATAAAAACTGAAGACCTTTATTCCACACAACTACAAGATTTATGTTTACAACAGATAATGTAGGAGTTACCGCAGAGAACTCCAAGCAACACAGTTGTCCCTCCTTTCTGACCTCTCTGAGATTCATCACGTGGACCTTAATCTCCTAACATGTCCTTCTCTACAGGGGCTGGACAAAATTCTTTCTCTCCTTCTCTCTTGCAATTGGTCTAAGTGTCGAAGTCTTCTCCTCAGTTGGGCATTTCCCATGGCAACCGACTCCTCTTCCTGATATCTGGGAACTCCCTCAAAAACTTGAGAGTCAGGTGGTGGGGGGGCTGTTTGTGCTGTGGTCACCAAGTATAAATCTCCCTGCTCTAATGTTGGATCCTCGCTGGGGGCTTCTGGCTCTCTTTAGCATGCTAACACCTCCCCCAAGTTGTTAGGCATGACAATGGGTGCTAGGCTGTGCAGGATAACCCTGGAATGTCAATCGTGTGCTGGACCATACTTGCATTTACAGCCTCTCTGAGTCAAAATGTCCCTGATTCTATTGATGTCATCCTGATACAAAATGAGTGTGGTGTGTTAAAAAAGACTTCACCAATGCTCAGAGTCACTAGCTGGGTGAGCAGCTTCAATCCCCAGTCAGGCATCCAGGATAAGAATGGGAATCTCCTAGAAGAAAGCATGGGAACAGTCTCCAAAACAACCCCAAAAAGCCCTACTGAGCAGAGATTCCACATTCCCAGGTTACAATGCGGATGAGATGTGGGTGTTGAGAAGCTCATTTTTCTGATGCTGTTTGGGTGCCAACACTGAGAATAGAATAAAAAGAGCAGGGTATGCTCAAGCTATAGTGGAGATGTTTCTCTTCTCAGATGCAGAACATTGCATAAAGTGTCCTGAAGACCAGAATCCAAACAAGGCCCAGGATCAGTGCATCCCCAAGGTTATCACCTTCCTATCCAATACAGAACACCCGGGAATGTTCCTCATTTCCTTGGCCCTCCCTTTTAGTCATTGCAACAGGAGGCATACTTGGAATCTTCAGGAAATTCAGGAAATTCCAAGAAACTCCAGTTGCCAAAGCCAACAACCGGGACCTCTCCTACATCCTCGTTCTCTCCCTCACCTGCCTCTTCCATCAAACAGCCTTTAGCATAGGACTTCCTTCAAAATCTCCATTTTTGACATAGGTCACCTCTGATCACAGTGTGCCCATTGTTTCTCATTGGTTTAGTGACATTTTTGTCTCATATTGGGTGCTGAGGGACACCATTTAGAATTGAATCAAGGGTTTGCTACTATTGCTCATGTCCAAGACCTCCTCTTCTCAGGCAAAGTCTGATACCAAGAAACTGATACTAAGAGAGATTTGGACAGTCAATGTGGGGGAAAGGGAAGCCAATTTGACACTCCTTTCTCTCTTTCCCTTGCTTAGTTTTTGTTGTTTTTTAGGGGAACCTTACACAGTGCAAGGCAAAGAGAAGTGCACACCCAAGACAAGAATACTTTGATCCTGGTTCCTAGGAAGGAGCAGCAGCAGTGATGGCTCAAATACTTGTTTTTCTCCAGCTGCTCGCTTGCAAAACATTCAGGAATTTACAGAGGGTTTCAACTTTGTAACTTTCTAATTATGCAAATCATCATGAATTCTTGGCATTTTTGCTGAACCTCCTGGGAACTCCTGGCCCAAAATACCACATCGCAGTCCACTGATGTAAGGAGGAGGTTGCAGAGCAGGTGGAGGTGTGTCTTGCATCCAGGCACAAAGGAGGAGGCATGTAAATGCTTCTCGTCCACTCAGAGCTTTACAGAAGCTTTCTGGCAAGGCAGGAGGTCCTTGGGCCAGTGACTTCTCTTGTTCCCCCTCTGGTGAACCATTGTTCTTCCTGGGGGTATTGCATTCCTCTTCCTAATTATTCCTATAATTCTTTAAAAGGGGGAAGAACAACCAGAATGAGACTCTTTTTCCTCCTGCTGCTGCTCTCTGAAGAAGGCTCCTGTGAGATGCGGGAGGCCAAATGCCCCTGGAGGTGGGAGCAGGATGAACTGCAGCCAAGCAATTATTACCGGCCAGGAGACTTCATCTTCAGTGCCACCGTCTCTGCAGAGTGGTTCGATTTAAGACCACACACATTCAACAGACCTGCCTCGAATGTGGAGGATCGGTAAGTCATTGGCCTGGCTCACATGATGTGATAGAGTGCCATGGGCAGCCAGACAGCACAACTTTTGGTGCACAATTTAGCACAAATTCTTGTGCAATTTCTCAAAGCTGTCTTCTTCCCCAGGAACATGCCACCCACAAATCCCCTGGCCAACAATTCTCAGGGACAGAGTCAGGGCTCCAGGTTGGAGAACGTGATCCACCTTACCATTGTTTCTACTGTCCAGGCATGCATTTCTCTTTCACACAGAGATGGCTGTGTTTGGCTCCAGCTCTGGAATGCCCAACTGTGCTGTGTGTGTTACATAATGCAGGATGGATATTGGCTTCAATTGAAAACATGCCACCCATGCACAAAACTCCCTACCAGCAGTTGTATATGAAGTTGCACTTGGACTTTGAGCTTTAGGATGGGATCCGTGTGAGTGGAAAGACTGAGAAGCAGAGAGTGATACAACCTCAAGTGGCAGCAGATGGAGCAGCCATGAGAGCTGTGAATTTCACGAGGAGTGGGAGGGCAGGGTGACCAAAGCATGTTCTTTCTTTCAGGTGGACAGGCAAATCTCAGTTGAAAATCATACCCATCCTCCTTGCCATCCATGAGGTAAATGAGAATCCCAGGCTCTTGCCCAACATCACCCTGGGCTACAATGTCTATGACACCCTTTCTGATGCTAGACTGACATCTGATGCAGCTGTAGACCTTCTATCAACCACGCAGGCCCATGTTCCCAACTACAAGTGTGGAAGGCAAAACCATCTTCTGGCCGTCCTTGAAGAACTGGAATCTGACGTCTCCATGCAGCTTTCCAACATGCTAGGCATCTACAAAATCCCACAGGTGGGGGGCTTAGGGAAAGCAATTCCAGGAGCTGTGTGGGGAAAGCAAATATTTTTAAAGAATATTTCAAGGACAAAAGAATATTCTATTCAAATATGGGATGGAAATGGTGCAAGCCCCCAGACTGAGCAGCAGGGATGCATTTGGCATTGTCAGAACAATCCTCTTTGTCTGGAGTCAACAATGCTGTACTTCAGTGTCAACCATCTCATGAGCACCAAGGAAAGATTCCTTTTCTTTCCCATGCATAGAAGTCAGAAAGGAAAGGGCACCAGAAACGGGTACAAGTTAATCCTGTTAGACCATCCCTAAAAACCAATTCTGCCCTGACTTCAGGAAAAGTGGTAGGAAATTTTGGGAACTTGGTTCCAGGATGAAAACTCAGAAGAAGCTCAACAGTTCAGGGTGCTCAGCACATCCATTTTAAAGTATTGTAATCTTACAATTCTTAAACAGTTTCTTTCTTCATGAATATTAATGAGTGTTGTTCCATGCAGATAATTACATGTTCAGTGACTTCGGCCCATGAGATGTAGAACACGGACTTGGTGCTGAAATGAAATTATCCATCAGTCTCTCCCTTTCTTTCCCAGGTTACGTATTATTTCTCTTCGAAGGTCGTGAGTGACAAAACTCAGTCCTCCTTTCTCTACCGGATGGTCCCTGAAGACAGCATCCAGAAGCCAGGGATTGTCAAACTGCTGCTGCATTTCAGATGGACAATGGTTGGTGTGCTTTCTGTGGATACTGAAAATGGAATTAATTTCATGAGAACCATGCAAGTGGAGCTCCTCAGGAATGGCATTTGTGTGATTTTTTCACACAGCTTCTCAGAAATGAAATCGGGTTATTTTACCCTCTCTCATGTGGAAAGGATGAAGCTGCTGGAACCCAATGTCTACGTTTATTTTGTAGAGATGAATTTCTACACCTATGCCATACAGATGGTAGAAGCAGCAGCTAAAAGATCAATTAAACGTTTAGCAGGGAAAATCTTCATCACCACAATGCTGTGGGACTTCTCCTTTTTCTTGTCCATTTCTAATGTGCATTTCAAGCATGTCTATATGTATTTCTCCTTCACTCTAGAAAAAACTCCAAGGACAGACTTTAAGCATTTCATAGATTTTTCTAGGGTTCTGAAGAGGCTTGTAGAATCAAAATTCAGGTGTGAGTATTCAAACCATGTGCAATCAGTGAAAGGGTGGAGAAGGTGCAGGGAGAAGGAGCAATGGGAGGCCCTGCCCACTGCAGACACAGTGAGAGCCAATTCTCCGGACAGCTTCGTCACTTACAGCACCATCCAGGCTGTGGCCCGCGCTTTGAATGTGGCTTTAATCACCAGATTCAAGAGGCTGCAGAAGGAAAGGGGACACAGGCTGGACATGCAAAGGCTGCAGGCATGGCAGGTATTTCCTTAGGCTACTCAAAGATTGCAACTGATCATAGAATGTTCAGTTCTGAACTACTTGCCTTGAAATAGGACTCTATGAAATGTACTTTTCTCTGGGCAAGCTCCCTCAACTTAGCCCTCCTCCTGGCTTCCAGAAACCCACTTGTTACGGCCCCAGCCATTGTTGCTAGCTCAAGTTCCTCCAGCTCTTGACTTGTTCTTGAAACATGGGTTATCATATTCCCTTAGTCCAAGAGAACTATCCATGGTGAGCAAGCTACATTTCACAACCCAGAATGAAATAATTGATTTCTTCACTTATTCTTGATATCTTTATTTATTGTAAAATTGTCTAGACTGTCCCTTACTGTGGTCTTGGGATGGCTTAAAAATAAGAAAATTTAAATAAAAGAAAGCCCAGTGTTCAAATGAAATGTTCAGTCAACAATAAAATCCCATTAAAACAATCAGTTCTTAAAATATTGGGAGAAAACAAAGGTTTTAGCCTGGCACTGAAAAGAATACAGAGAGAATACAGAATTCTAGTGTCAGGGAACCACTTGAGAGGGGCTCTTTTCTGAGTAGTCACCCTCCTAATCTCCTTCAGGAAGTGCTCCCAGAGAAGGGCCTCTGCCCCAGATATTAAGGGGTTGGCAGGCAAATATGGAAGGAGCCACTCCTGAAAGTAACAAGGGCCTAAGCCATTTAGGCCTCTATAGGTCACCACCAGCACCTTTAATTGGGCTGGGACTTCAACTGGTAGCCAGTTTAGGTGGAAAATTACTGGCGTTGTGTTCATACCTGGAAGTCCCTGTTAAAAAACTGGCAGCTCTACTCTTAACCAGTTGATGTATCAGGAGCATGTTCAAGTGCAGCCCCATCTAGAGCCCATTCCATTAGTTCCATCTGGAAGTTTTCAGTGCATGGGTCACCGCTGCTGGACACTGGCCATCCAGATGGTGTGCAGCTGATAAAATAGCTGAACCTGAAGGAAAGTGCTCCTTGCCACTGCCGCCACCTGGGATTTGAGGGACAGCTCCGGATTGAGAAGCAGTCCCAAACTGCACACCATGTCCATTAGGTGAGTGCAACACCATCCAGAAAAGGTTTGGAAACCCAGGGGGCAAAACACCAACCAGCAGGATCTCCATCCTGTCTGGATTAAGCTTCAATTTATTGGCCCTCATCCAGCTCAACACCCTGGCTAGGCACCAGTTCAGCACCTCCACTGCCTCACTTGGACTCAATGTAAAAGAGAGGTAGACCTGAGCCCAAATCTCCAGATGACCTTTCCCAGCAGTTTCATGTAGAAGTTAAAAAGCATGCAGGATAAAGAGGAACTTGTGGAACTCCATGGCAAAGCTTCCATGGTGTAGAGCCAAAATCCCACAATCTTCTGGAAAAAATCAGTCAAGAAGGAGTGGAACCATTCCAGACCAGTCCCTCCAATGCCGAACTCAGGCAGCTTATGCAGAGGATACCATGATCGATGGAATCCAAAGCTGCTGGGAGGACCAGCAGAAGCAACAAGGACACACGTCCCTGTCCCTCTCCCTGCACAGGCATCATACAGGGTGACAAAGAAGTTTCTTTCCCAAAACCAGGCCTTAAGCCAGATTGAAACAAATCCGATGGGTCAATTTCCACCAAGAGAGCTTGGAATACTCCAGCCAGCATTTGCTTGAGCACCTTGCTCTAGAAGGCATTGTTAACCACCAGTCTATACTTGGTGGCAAACTCTGGGCCAGGGTTTGCTCTCTTCGGGGTGGGGGGGCTAATCACTGTCTCCTTCCAGGGGTGGGAACAAAACCCTCCCTCATGGAGACACTAACTGCCACTTGGACACAGGTGAGCATCCCATCCTGGGCTCTGATGAGCAGCCATGAAGGGCAGGGGTCGAGTGAACAGGTGGTAGGTTGGACAAGTCCAAGCATTTTGTTAACATCCCCAGTCAGCAACACCTGAAACTCATCCAACAAAGATAGAGAAGTCGGCACTTTGGACACCTCCCATACTGGTGCTACAATTGTGGAGCCCAGCTTGTGACAAATCTGAGTGATTTTATCCCTAAAATGCTGGGCAAAGTTGTCACAGGGAACCAACGATGGTGCTACAAAGTCGTTTGGTTGTTTGTCAGGAAGAAAGCAGGGCTTGCTATCTTGGCTGGCTCAGATCACATGGCAAAATGTGTTTAAACACCTACACCCACCTGAGTGACAGCCTGCACTGAGTGCACACTTAGCTGTGAATCGACCTGGATTCCTAATTCCAGGATAGTATTATGATTCCCAGCCAGGCAGAGCACAGGAATTTGTCTTTGTTGATCTAGGACTTTCAAAATAAGAAAGCAAGTGTCCCTTTGAGATCATCAGGATTAACAGGAAAGGAGAAGGAAATAAGAGGAGCATTGTAGTTTCAGTTTTGGAAGACCATCAAGTCAAGAAGAAGATGAAGGTGAAACCATGGAAAAGCAAATTGGGAATGTTTCAGGAAGATGTGATGACAGTGCACATTCCACTTAGCATTTATCATGATATGGTAGTTTTCTGCCTCAATCTTATTCTTCCAAATAAATTGCCCAACTTGTTTCTTGAGGCAAGAATTCAGATTTTCTGAAAGACACCTTGCCTACAAAATATTGTCAGTATTTTGAAATTTTTTCAATGATTGTATAATTCAATCAGACCTCCTGTGAGCCTGCTCAGGCATGAATCCAACTGAGCGCCACTCAGTGAACTCCCAGACAGGTTTGTGAAGGATGGCAGCCTCTGTTCCCCTGGAAGTGCTGGCCTCCCATTTGGTTGGCCTCCGCCCTGGCCCAGATTACAAACATAAGTGTATGCACCTAACAAGATCTCTTTCCAACGTTCATGAAGAGGACTCAGGGCATCCAGGGAGGAAATCAGAATCTGTCTTCATCATACAGAACATGACCAGTACAAGAACCTGGAAGTACCATGAGTCAAAATGGCAATTGTGAGGCATGCCATGTGGATTCTTGATTCCATGATGCTTGTGCTTTCTCTGCCTTTTCAGCTGCATCCTTTTCTGAGTGACCCCCAGTTCCACAATCATTCCATTGATGAGGTGTATATGGATGAGAATGCAGAACTTTCAGCTGACTTGGACCTTGTGAGCTGGGTGAGGTTTCCCAACAGGACAGTTGTAAGAGTCAAGGTTGGGAGTCTAGAAAGACGGGGATTGCCTGGCCCCAAGTTCACCATTGACCAAGATCCCGTTGCATGGCCCGAATGGCAAGATCAGGTAAACCCTTCCCTTCATCCAGTCATAATCTCAAATTTCTTAACTAACATGCGGTGGGCATGTCATGAGCAGAGCTGGCTGGAGCCGGGGGTCAGACTAAATGGCCCAGGAGACCCCTTCTGACTCGCTCTGTTTCTATGTTTCTACTGTATATAGCTGGGAGACAATGTCAAACAGAATTTTCTTTTTTAAATTTACTTTTCTATACCGTTCCATGCTTAGATGTCTCAGGACATTGACAGCCATTTAATCCAAAAAACAGAAATAAGAATAACAGTTTGCCTTGAACCCAATGTAAAAATATACACTTACTAAAAAAACCAAGTTTACACTTAAGCTCCTGGGAGAATAAAAATGGCTTTACGTGACGCTGAAAGGAAAGAAGCATTGGCACAAGGTGGACTTCTCTGGGGAGCATGTTCCTCATTTGGAGTGCCACTGCAGATAAGGCATTCCCCTAGGTACTCACAATCCAGATCCCTCTCAAGTACGGGCCCCTGAGGAGGGCCTCTTACTCAGAATCAAGGGGTGTGAGGGGACATAGGGGAGAAGGAACTCCTTCAAGGATCCAGGACCCAAGCCATTTAGGGCTTTATAGGTCTTCTGCAGCAACTTAAATTGTGCTCGGACTTCAATGGGTAGCCAGTGTAGAGGATAGAGGGCCGGCACTAAATGTGAACACTTCCCAGCATCCGTTAATATCCTGGCATCCACGTTCTGAACCAACTGAAGTATCTGGATCATCTCCAAGGACAGCCCCTCGTAGAGTGCATTACAAGAATCCAGTTGGGAAGTTGGCATAACATGGGTCACTCTTGCTAGGCAGTGATTGTCCAGGTCATGGGAACCAGCCAAAGATGGAACAGGCACTCCTTGCTACTGCTGCTACATGAGAGTCCAGGGACAGCTCTGGATTGAGGAGCACTCCCACACTGTGCACTGTTTCCTTTAGGTGGAGTGCAATCCCATCTGGAGAACGGCAGATGTTACTCACCAGTTGGGCTAAACCACCTAGTGACTGGACATCCATTTCATCTGACTTGAGCCTCAATATATTGGCCCTCATCCAACTCATTAAATGTCCAAGCACCGGTTAATGACAGCCACTGTCTCAAGTGGTCTGGATGTAAATGAGAGGTCAAGCTACGTGTCATTCGCATCCAGGTGACTCTGCACCCTAAACCTCTAGATGACCTCTTCCAGTTGTTTCATGTAGAGGTTAAGAGCATGTGGGATATAATGGAACCCTGCAGAACTCCATGGCAAAGTGCCCTGGTGCAGAGCCCCAATCCCCCAGCACCACAGTCAGCTTTGCAGAATTAGCTGTACTGATGGAATCAGTTGCATCCTGTGGGTCTGTTCCTCTTCACCCTTTCCAGCTCTTTCTCCCCCACACAGCTGCAACAGCCCTAACCAATTTCCCGTGATGCTCCTTCCCTCTGTGATCAGCCGCTACCAAAATCCAGGTGTGTGGAGAGCTGCCGCCCGGGATTCTTCAAAGTGGCTCGGGAAGGCCAGCCCATTTGCTGCTATGACTGCATTCCATGCAAAGAAGGGACCATCTCCACTCGGGAAGGTGAGTAATTTGGAGAAAAAGGAATGGCTCATGAGGATGGAAGAGGGTTGGTCATCTTATGAGGTCATGGGCATACAACCCCAGAGTGCTATGTTGTTTCTGCAGCATCAGAGCAGAAAATCATAATCAGTCTTGAAATTGTTTGATCAGACAAATCCTATGTGGTGCTCTTGGCATCTCAGAGCCCTAATTACCCCATTGCTTCAGCAACCAATTTCATAGGAGCCCACTGTGCAACAGAGACATGTTTTCCCTTCATGAGTATGCTGGGAAGCGCCGCATTACCCAGCAATTGCCCCTCTTCCTGTGCCCATCTCTCCAAAAAATATCCTTCCCATCATGCAGGTGGTGTTTTGTCATGGTACAAAGTTTTTCCCATCCACACTATCCCTTCTGACACCCTGGGCACTCCAACCTGAACTGTTTCAGTGGTCATTTCTCTCCTGCTCCAGGGGAACTCACCGCTCCCTGAGCTGCTCCTGCAGAAGCACCGAGGTGGGTTGTGAGAATGGGAATTGCTGAGAGATGTGACCTTTTAGAACTTCTCCAGGCTTATACGGAGGAGCTGAAAAAGACATTCTCCCCTTGAAGCCACTATGCGGCTTCCCCATGGGAAGGGTGCTTGGGTGGGTTCCTCAGACCAGAGGATAATGCACGCTATGATGAGCTTACATGTAAGGGTGGGGAATCAGGCATGACCAGGAGGTTTGTGAAGGAGGACATGAGGCCTGTTCCTCAGCAGTGCATGCTGGGCTCCAGCAGTTTCTGCACTTGGAGTGAGTTTTCTCTGCAGTCCATGATGGGTGGGGAAACTCCACAATGCTATTTGTTCTGCTGAGGGGTGTAAACTAGGCATGAAAAGCACAGTATTGAATGTGCAGTCCTGTATACCAAACATGGAGTATGTTGTTGTCACCATATGTATTCACTCATTTATTCATTTAGCTGATATATATCTAGCCCCTTTTCCTTTCAAGGGACTCAGAGCAGCTGACATAATTTTCTTTCCTATCAGGGGACTTGGGCCAATGATCTGTGGCTGGCCCAGTGAAACCCAGTGAACTTCACAGCTGCACAGGGACCATAACAGGACCACCCAGGTCCAGTCCCACGGGTTTAAACACTGCAGCAAGTGGGCTGCAAGCCTTCCATGCTTTGCCCACTGCAGAATTCCCCCTTCCTCTCTATGGGTGCTAAGCTGAGAAGGATGATCCAGGAGTGTCTAGCCTGCTCTGGACTGTACTTGCAAGTATGGCATCTCTGAACCACAACGTCTCTTGTGGAATTGCAGTTTGTACGTATACTGGGCAGAGTTCCTGGCTTGAAGGGAAAATATTGTTGTGGGCGGGGATCACCTTCAGCTTCTTAAGCTAGCACAACTGCTTATTGCACCCTGCACAGATACAAAGAGTTATTTTGAAATGTCGCAGAAGGGGCTCTCATGTGTGGATTCTGGGCCACTTGACAAACTGAGCCCCTGCATTCTTAAGGAGGTCTGTATGGGCTGCAGAGGATACATTAGTATGGAACATGGAGTGTCCCACCCTGCTTTCTAGTAAAACACCTTGATTCAAGGGGACAGGCATGGGCAGCAGAAGGGTGTCTCAAAGGTGCAGCTCAGAGATGAAAGTCTTTCAATGAAGTCTCCTTGGCAGCCATTCTTCAGAGCATAGAGATCTGCCCTACCAGGGAAGCCTCATCTGCCCGGCTAACAGGCAAGGTGGCAAAAGGAAGCGAGAGGAGAAAGCTGAATAAGGTTTGGAGACACACCCCAAGCTTTGCTAGGCATGCTTTGGATGGACATTGAATCCATTCAAGTGCACTTATTCCTTGCAAACTATTTGAAAGATTGGTTGGCAATGCCCAGAACCAGAACAAAATAGCTGTCTTGGCTCTGAGTGACAACCCCTTCAGGGAAGCCCTACAATGCTCGAGTCCAACAGAGATTCCACATTCCCAAGTTACAATGAGGATGACATGTGGGTTTTGAAAAGTGCATGGTGTTTATGCTCAGTTGAGGTGAGGACCCTGAGGATTGAATACAAACAGTAGGAACTGCTCATGCTATAATGGAGATGTCTCTCTTTTCAGATGCAGAAAAATGCATGAAGTGTCCAGAAGACCAGCATCCAAACAATTCCCGGGATCAGTGCATCCCCAAAGTTATCACCTTCCTGTCCTATGCAGAATATTTGGGGATGTCCCTCACTTGCTTGGCTCTCCTTCAAGCCATTGCCACAGGAACAATACTGGGAATCTTCAGGAAATTCCAAGAAACCCCAGTCGTCAAGGCCAACAACCGGGACCTTTCCTACATCCTCCTTATCTCCCTCCTGCTTTGCTCGACAAGCTCTTTCCTTTTCATTGGCCAACCGAGAAGAATCACCTGCCTCCTACGACAAACAGCCTTCAGTATCATCTTCTCAGTGGCCATATCCTCCCTCCTGGCAAAAACAGTCACTGTGGTGCTGGCCTTCCTGGCCACTAAGCCAGGAAACTGGGCAAGGACCTGGTTAGGGAAGGGTCTGGCCAACTCCATAGTCACCTCATGCTCCAGTGTGCAAGTTGTTCTCTCCACCATCTGGCTCAGTACCTCACCCCCATTCCCTGACTCTGACATACACTCCCAGGCTGGGCAGATCATCCTGCAGTGCAATGAAGGCTCTGTGATCATGTTCTATGCTGCTCTTGGCAACATGGGTTTCCTGGCTGCCATCTGCTTCACAGTGGCCTTCCTGGCCAGGAAGCTGCCTGGGGCCTTCAACGAGGCCAAGCTGATCACCTTCAGCATGCTGGTCTTCTGCAGCGTCTGGGTCTCCTTCGTGCCCACCTACCTGAGCACGAGGGGCAAGTACATGGTGGCCTTGCAGATCTTCTCCATCTTGGCCTCCAGCGCTGGGCTGCTGGGCTGTATCTTCCTCCCCAAGTGCTACATTATTCTAGTGAGGCCTGACCTGAATACCAAGGAATATCTCATGATGAAGAGCAAAGCATAATTTGTATCTGTGTTGTTCATCGAACATTCAAAAATTTTACAATTGTAAACCCTCCCATCAGTCCAATTTTGGTACATGTGCAGCATAGAAATACAGCAGACAATCCAATAAATTAAAGTATTTTGCAATTTTCAGTACTGGGAATTAAGTGTCTCTGTATCAAACATGGGGATTCACCAGGCAAGATCTCTTCCCACTTTAATTTAATTTTCTAAGCTTTGTGTTGTATCTTGTCTTTTTTCTGGTAATGGTTTCTGTTTATAGTCTTTGACATTTCCATGTCATCTTTCAAAATTTCACCAGAAAAATCATTATGGACATGAAGTTGAGATGGACGCAGGAGTGCAGTGTCTCATTTCATAAACCAGTTTTCTATCCAAGGAGTACTGTTGCCATATACTTTGGAGGAGCCTAAATCTCCCTTCCCAGATCTACTGAGACTTTAATGCAAAGCTTTTCCAAATGTTCAATTAATTGTACAATTCTTTATAGTTTTTTGTTTTGTTTTTCAAAATGGTGCATCCACACCGTTTATCAGGAATGCATTTTTTTTTTAATTTGTCAGGAGCTTAACTTAAGGAACCTGTCCATCCACTCATGCCTTGGAATGTATCAGGCTGCCCATCCACAAAATGTGACAGACAGAGGCCAATGGGGGGAAAATGCAGGGCCCCCATTGATGCAGCTCCCTTGCTTTCAGTTGCCCACTGTAGTCAGCTCAGCCTGCCATTCTTCTGGTGGCTTTCTTGCCTTGAGATCCCCCTCATCTTTTGCAGAGCAACACGTGAAGGGAGGAGACCTGCCTCGCCATAGAGCATAACACATAGGTGGGACTGAACAAAAGCAGAGGAAACTGTGACAAGGGGAGAGGGGGCTGGAAAAATTGCAATTTCTGAGAAAGTGTTCCCTGGAACCCCCTCTTGAAACTTCCAGATTTTTCCACTCCACCTATATGGACCTCCCTCTTTGCCAAACTTACCATTCCTGGAAACAGAACCCCTCTCCAAAAGCAGGAAAGAAAGCTGGGTTGGGCAGGAGAGAAAGGCTGGAAGGGAAACACTTAAAGAGGGCAAGAAATGGGATTTTAATGACGTCTGACTAGTGAGGAGTATACAGCAACTGCGAATTTACAAGATTTGTAAGTAAAACTTCCATTGTTGCATTACAAAATAGCAGTTCCATGAATTAGACACTGGGTAGGATTGTGTGCCAATACAGGACCAGGAAGGTATGGGAAGGAAGATTTTGGACACCTTATGTCTCATGAAAAAATTTCTCCTAGTGCACAAGAAATTTTTGAGAAATATGAGAAGCTGCATTGTTGTTCTTTCTGTCAACATCCTATGAACATGGTTTACCTGGTGACACTTCCAAATATGGCAAGAAGGGGGAAAGCAGAATGGAGAGGGAACTGTGGAAAAGGGCGGGAGGGAGGATGGACAAAGTGCAGTTTGCTAAGAGGTGTTCTCCTGATCCCCCTCTCATATTTTTTGGCTTCTTCTGATGGAACCACTAAGGACCCCTCAACCCTTCTGCAAATGCAGATGAGAAAGTTGGGCAGGGCAGGAAGACTTGGAGGGACAGACTTGAAGAGGGCAAGAAATGCATTTCTCCTCTGTGAGCCTGACTGAGAGGAAGGCAGGAGGGTGACCAACCCTTCACATGGGGGAGTCTCACGGCCAACGCTGCCTCCCACTTTGCCTTTTAAAGGAAGACATGCCTTTTGGAGTCACCACCAAATGTGGTTGCACAAGCCTTTCCTTGATGAGTGAGTTGAAGTAAATGATGAAGTTGAATGTTCTGGAACAGGCCCACGTACGAACAGGAAGTATTTGGGAAATGAGTAGGCATGTCCCTCCAGGTGTGGAAAGGCCTCCTTTGATGGGAGCCTGCACAGGATTCCAACACTTGCTTTCCCTTTCCCATTCCACAGTGCAAAATCAGGGGAGCTCTTTTGAAGAGTTCAGCACAGCACAGCTTCCATCTTTCTCCTCCCATTTAACTGGAGGAATGACTAGCAGGAGAGGAAGTCAGAGACTTCTTGGAAAGTCCAGGCATCCATGGCCTTCCACACAGAGCTGGAGCCTGGCCTGCCAGGTGCGTCAGCTGGAGAGGGTGACCAAAGTCCCCTGATGCAGGCATCTCCTGGCCTGTTCTAAAGCTTGCATGCAGGGGCCTGCTCTAAATGCATCTAATGTCATCGGAGGCATTCTGTGCCCTGGTTTTTGCACCTGAATGCAAGACAATACCTTGGGTTGCTCTTGAAGATAATGTTGGATGTTTGATTCAAAGAAGTTTGTGTGAGCTTGCAGGGAGAATGCCATGGATTTCAGCAAGAATAATCATCCAGCTCTTTGTCATTTTGATATGTTGAAAAGATGGACCATCCCTGCAGCTTTTTCAGCTCTCAGCAGTTCCATGCAGAGGTGCCCAACTGCGGGGGGGGGGGGGGGGAGGGTGGGGGGGGAGAATGCTAGAGAGAAGGTATGGGTGCTGTTCCAGGTCAAAGGAACCCTGGAGGGCATCTTGTACATGGGCAGCCATGAGGAGGCATCTGC